TAATGAGATACTCCTGAGGGAGGAAAATAAGCAGCAGAGCTTCACTATAGAAAATCCACTCAAACAACCCTCCTACTTTGAAGATTACCAAAGAATGGACCATAGGGAGAGCTACAAGAGCAAACCAGATGAAGGTTAAATTATTAGTAGGGACAACAATGGAAACTTGATTATGTGGAGGATGAAAGATGTGAAAAGTGCAATCAGTGCATAAAGTGTAGATCTAAAAATTCTCTTTTCAAGCCACCATAAAGAGCTTAGAAATAACAAGAGTCAAGTTAAGAACTTTAAACAAGCGCTTGTTAGGAGACAACCCAACACTAATATCCCTTTTATTTATTATGCTTTCTAGACTTAAGATTATTTAGATCAATTTTTATTTAATTGTTAGGGACTCATCATCCATTTCTTGTTTCCCCTTAGGTCCTTAAGATTTAATTGGTTTATTAGATATTTAAGCTAAGTAATAATTGTTCCAGATATTTGATCTTGAATATTTTATCGAAATGTATTGCGCATGAACATGACGTCACAGAACACTTAAACCAACATTGACTAAGGAGACAAGGGGGCAATAGGACAAGCTAGCCATTGGATTTCACATCATATCAGGGGAAGTATTTTCTTTATTTTCTTCCCCACCCCTTTATATGCGAACTTAGGATTTAAAACGTTGAAAACAATGCTTAGTTTAAGTTTGAGGTGGAAAATATGAATTTTCTTCTATTTTTTGTGTTTTTGAGTGCTTTTATTACTTTTAAGATACATAGAAAATACAAAAAAAAATATTTTCTTTTTGCGTGCATGAGTGAGTTAGTTGGCCTAACTAGTAATGGGAAATATATTGAATTATGAGTAGTGTATACGTTGCATGCTTAGTTAATTTTTGCTTTTCCATGTGAAATTTGATATATATTGAGCACATAAATTAAATTAAGCGAATTGAATACAATGATTATTGAGAATCGAAATAGATGAAAACTGGGGGATACATGAATTCAATACAAGCATTCATATTAGATTTAATCACTTTGTCTCGCTTTATTAGAGTAGAATTATAATAAATAACAAACAAATCACAACTCGTTTGATACCACCACACTTTGAATTTAATAGTAGCTATTAAATTACAAATTAGATTTTATTACTCATGGAAACGATACTCTTAACTCGCAAATCTTATTACTTGTACAACGATTCCGTACGCTTGCTGGTTTCACATGAACAAAAACAGCCATACAACATGAGTTGATAAATGGAACACCAGCAAACTCTTTCACAATAACAAAAGTAAGATTATAGTCAAGTGACTTCCAGGCACCACAAGGTTGTATTTTGTCAAGTCCGCATGAAGACTCCTAATGAAAAGAACAGCCTTGGTAACACAATATCAGAGGCATGGTTCTAAAAGTGCCCATGTTTGCTTCCAATCATTGGGTTGCTGTATAGCGAAGAAGAGGAAATGGGGAGTTGTACATGGTAAAGTATGTACTGTGTCAACACAACAGGGCTACAAAAATACAGGCCATAATTTTTCAAATGCATTTATTCAGGGTAAATGTGGTGAACCATATACTCCAGCATATGTATGAAGATAGTTGGGAATCGGATCGATTTGGATGTTAAATACATTTCATGGTATAATTTCTGCACTAGGCTATGCATGTTGGCTTCCCAACAGTTGTCTACTTTACGTGGAAGGACAACGGTAGTAGAAGGCATTTCCAAGGAAGCGGAGAAGTAGAGATTTATTCTTGATATATCCAATAGCAGAACAATGATTGCCACAAGTTACAGGGCAATACTCAATACAAAGAAAACTGGGGAATTAAGCATAGCACAGGGGTTGAAAACAAAAAATCTTCTGCAGAAAACTGAATCAGTAATAAGGTCATATTCGTAGGAGATTGTCAAGTAAAATGATAAGAATGACTCTTTCTTCTATTAATTAGTGTAGTATCATGGACGTTGCAATTTTGACTAAAGCTGTCTTTCATGTCTTCAAATTTAATCAGCAATCACTATTATTCTTGCAATAGAACTGTCAAAGTAATTTACTATTTCGAGTTTTGATCATACAAGTCCCCCACTAAAGTACTCTTCTATAAATCTGCCATCAATCCTCCCAAATCACTTACTAAATAATCACACTAAGAATGGAATTTCACAGTGCCAGTCTAAATTGTACATTTACAGTGTCTAAATAACTCAGCCTATCAACCACTATTACCCAAGTTTTTAACTTTATTTAAATTTTCATAAAAGAAATCAATTCAGGAACTGATCCAACCAATTCATTTCATTTCACATATATTCCTTCAATCCTACATTTGCATATTAGTCAATTTCTCACTTCGAATTGGAAAAAAGATAACTAACATTTTTTTTTCTAAATCAAAAGAATGAAACTGACCTCTGAGGAGTATCGACCTCCTCAATGGCATCACCGTTCTTCAATTCATTCAACAATTCTCTCATGGTGAACGTCCTATTCCCTTCCTCTTGTTTCAGCTTCGGTTCACTCCCCGCATCGTTTGTTTTTACCTCCTTCTCCTCAGATTCAGTCGTTACACTTGACTGGATTGAAATTTCTTCAGGTCCAGAATTTGATGCCTCCGCATGGACTGATTGTACTTTGTGGGATTCAATTACTTCGTCGATTTTGGAATCTTCTTCTGCATCGGGTGATTGTACGTCAGTATGATGGATTCCGGTGTCGTTTGAATCGGGATCTGGATCGGTGGCTGGTGGTGCTGGTTCGGATTCGGGTCTGGGAGCTCCGTTTTCTAATTGTTCAGCATTTGAAGACATTATTTTGAAGCAGTAGATTAAAGGATTTGGATGCACAACAAGAAGGGGTGCAAATTTGTAAGGGGTATTTCTGTTGAAGAAGAAACTCAGAATGGGGGAAAACAGTGTTTCTTTACCGAGATTTTAACGAATTTACTCTAAAATTTCTTTAGGAAAATTTGCACTTTGTGTCCTCGACTTTTGTGAAATCCATCTCTAAATTTTTAATTAATAGCGAAACTTGTCCTTCGCTTCATTTTGATCATTATGAATTTGTCCTTCTTTTTAAGCAAATAAAAGTAAAGAAGAAGTAAAACAACATCAAAAATAAGAATTTGTAATGCCACGAAATGCATTTTGTACTACATCATGATCGTGTTTGGTGGGGAAAAAAAAGGTTAATCCATTTTGTACTGCATCATGATCTCGTTTGGCCGCAGGTGAGGTTGGATTAGATGGGCGGAGTTGGTGTCGACGGTGGATTGGTGAGCTTGGTTGGACAAGATGAAATGTTTTTAATTTGTTTGTGCTGATATATTTAATTGGGATTTGTTTTGTACTTTTTAAAAAGTAAATTTTTCCTTAATTTTTTTGTTATTTTATTGCTTTTCTATTTTTTTTATTTAAATAGATTAAGAAAATTTTCATTTAATGGCCAAAACCGAGGGAATGACGAGTTTTAACTTTTAATACATAATCGAAAGGTTAGTAATAGAACATGCTAAAAAAATATCGATGATATATTTATTACGTTTCGTAAAGATTGGGACGAAAAATACAAATTTCCTTTTATTTTGTTAGTATGTTTTTATTTTATTTTTTTAACTTTTCATTTTGTATCGATTTCATCCCCTTTCAATTTTTATCTCCCTTTCCCTCCCCAATATTTCATTAATACACTCAAATGGTCCCTCTAGTGATTTCCGTCAAAAAATGCTATTAATGACATGACAATTCTACCCTCTAACTTAAATAAATTGAAGACTGAAGAGGCCAAAAAGGCAAAATAACAATAACAAATAGATGAATTACAGAAAGACGAATTGGTGGAATGTGAAACAAGAATTGGTGACAGGAATGACACTTGTAAATTTTGTGGTGACGGGATTGAAATCCATGGAACTGGGGCAACCCAATTCAAAAAAAAAATTGTTTAGAAATCAATTCATTAGAACCCAAGCAGCCATGGGAATGTATGGTTGGATTTTGGAGGATCCTTTTGACCATTGCTGAATTAGCGTATGAGCTTAATCCATCATTCGTTGAGTCTATTTTTATTGATTTGGCCGTCGGCGGGGTAAAGTGGAGTGGTGGAGGTTTCGGCGGCAGATAGTGGAATTTTTGGTGAGGTAAGGGCGAAATTGTTGGATGGTTGGAACTTGAGAAAAATTGAATTTTAAGTATTCTGAACTTCGATGATAAACACCTTGTTTGATGCACATATTCTCCCAAGAATGCATTTTAAATGATGATTTGATGGAAATTATATAATTAAAAAATAAGGAAAAATTTTACATTTGCGTGTAACATTATTTTGTTGAAAATAAGAGAGAAAAACGTATTTTTGAAAGAATACGTGTGTCAAACATGGTAAAAATCTTAAATTTTTATTTTAAAAGATTAATCTGGTTAAGAATAGCCAAGATCTCATATTTAAGGGATATATATTTAGACTAATAGCATAATGATTTGTCATGTTTGAGGTGTCACACGAGTTGAGATCTAGTGTCCAGAATTATTGTCAACTTGTTGTCCACTCATTAATTAATATATCCAAATTTTCTTTCACTGTCATTTGTGCTTAAAAATGGATGTAAAATAATGTGTAAATGAATCATTTGGGGACGGTAAATTGATCAATCAATTTTGGGCAGTAGGTCTCAACTCATGTTACGAGCACAAGCACAAAGTACTTCGAAAAAATACATTTACTGAATAGTAATTTAGCAGGTTGCCACTTCATTCAAGAGTCTTGAGCACTGTCAAATACAACACAAAGTCCCATAAATTAATTACTCGATTCAGAACTCTCCTATCAAGTCTTCAGTTCAGAATAGTGTGAGGTAAACTCAGGATACCCTCGGTTTTGACCGGGTCCTAATCGTCGTGTCAACAGAGGAACGAGTGAAAGGCAAAAATAAAAAGAAAGATCAAAAGAAGCTAAGAAAGAAGACATCAGCCGAACAAATTTGGTTGAGACATTTTCTCTCCTAAATCTTATCATGGAGGGTCACGACCAAATCATGGGCATCGTCTAACAGTTTCCACACGTCAAGATGTCCAGACATGCTATTGCACTCCCGCATGATTTCATCCATGCTGCTATGTTTTTCTATGATCAGTTTCCTCTTCTGCAATACAGAAGCTGCTATTGCATACAGTAATAGATCGTCCGTAGGTGGCGCTCTAAGCATCATCCTTCCCCAAGCAGATTTTCCAATTCCAGCCCGAATTGCTGCTTGATCTGCCCACATAACCTCCCAGAGGCAAAGGGTCTGCTCGAATGTTAATTCCCGTCTGAACAGAACAACCACCATTCTGTACACGAAGAAACAATCCTCTGCCTGAAGCTTCTCCAAGTGTTTGTAGAGATGCGAATCCTTGCCCTTGATAATCTTAGATACGGTTTTCAATTGCCTTCTGATTCCCATTTCATCAAGACGAAAGTTATGCCGAGCTTTCTTCATGAAACCCACAAAGCACCAGAACGCTACATGATCATCTGCTATAACTGAGATAATTGGAGAGAGTAAATCACTCATCCCCTGGCAATAACCAGTCTCAGAATCATATAATGCATAAGCTTCAAGAATGGCAACAAGACGAGCCGCGTGATATATCATGCATGGCTCCAGATGATTATAATCCTTCAATCCGACGCTCTCAGCTAATCGTTGTGCCTTCACCTCCGACACTGAGGCTTCAGATGGTGAGTAAACAATCCATTCAGAATTAGCACGCACCGCATCAACACGTATGATTCGCTGCCACGCAGCAAAATCTTCGGCAGTATAAGACGTGGATCTAATTTCCGTCTTGTAAGAAGTGGACTCATTAATTTCAATATCTTCCAATTCTATTGAACCAAGGAGAGGTTTCATATCGTCAGATTCTTCCGAGGAGGAATCGGAATCGGAATCAGTTTCTTCAAAAATATTTTCATCAATAATTCCACTCTCATCTTTTTCATCCACTAATGTACTGGATGTTTTAAGGTGTAGAATATGTCCAGACGTTGTGGATATCTCCCCTGCAAGGCTCACTCCGTCCACCGAAAGAGAAGCTCTGGCACTAGCAACTTCTTCCAAAACAGGAGAATCTGAACCTCGATTAAATTCACTAGACTCGTTACAATTATTTCCAGAAATCTCCAACTTGGAACTTCTATCACCGCATTTTAAATTTTGTGGACACTGTCTCCGCAAGTCCAGGTATTCTTTTCTGTGACAATGGTACATGAAAGTAAGGGTGATCGCTTGAACTACAAACAAAAAGAATAAAATGACACAGAATTGCCACAGATGGAACAAACAGGGCATGGTGGAAAGAGGAAATATTAACTGTTCAAGAGAAATATGCCATTGTGAAGGTATATTTACCTTTTTTGAGCTCCAATAGCATCTCTTTCTTTTTGTGAACTTTTCACATCATAGCTGCAAGGATAAAAGATGCAGTCAAGAAAAGAGTATTTCAATTCAAAAAAATATTCGATACACAATGAAAAAACCAGTCACAACAGAAAATCACAAAAGCATACCATTGGTAAAATCTTGCCATGCAAAATAAAGAGATTTTGGACAAGGAATTCCAAATAACTGAAATTCAATTAACCAGAAAGAGCTTATTCATCACTGAAAGACATAGGTTCAATCCTGTCTTTAGACCATAAATTGTGAAACTCACGTCTCTTTGGTGCCACCCCATGCTCACCCCATGCTCAAAAGTATAAACCCATTATGGCAGGAAAGTTTGCCTATTAAATTGGTATGGGCAGCAAAGAATAATCCACCAACATAAAAATCCCTAGCTTCTTTTACCAATTGAGAAGAGAAAAAATCAATGCATTTCAATTGGATAACTAGACAGGAAAAATAGCCGCCCAAAACATTTTAGAAGGATACATGTATATGTTCAATAACAAGTTGCATTATTAGCTTCTTTTAGAACTTAATGGATATGTGAAAACAGCATAATGCTTAACAATGAGAACCAAGCTGTGTGGCAAGTGACATTAACGACATTAACATCACATCCATGGACTAACCAATAAATATCTAGGCTTAATTTAATTTCTGCTGTAAGACAGTAATTTATCGAAATATTATTACGGTGCAATAGTCGCAATGTTAAAGTCAGGTCCATTGTTAAGTACTTCAGATTATGGAATACCTAAAACTAAGGACAAAAAAGATCAGGAGATTAGAAAATATAGAAGTAAAAACAAAATTCTAAGCCACACATATGCTAATAAGGACCCACTAAGCTTGCAAGGGCAATTCCAGCAATCCATGACTAACGTATTTGAAAGATCGAGTAAATATAAAAATAATGATAATATTACTGAACCAAGTATTCAAATTTATAAACATGAAAAAAAAAACGCTTACAATCCAAGCAGGAACGGCCAAACCTCTGCCCGTATACTTGGTTCAACACCCTGCATTAATTAGAAGATTATTTGAGCTAAACTGCAGACAGACAAACTTGAAGATAACAAATTTTACGTATCAAGCAAAAGCGTGAATTGAAAAATACATAGACAAACAAAATGTGTGTGTATAAACATAAAAAGATTAACATACTCCACTTCGAACTTTCTTCAGTAACTTGATTCCCCCATCAGAGAGTTTCCCATCTGCATCAAATAAACTCTTCCATTGTTTGGCAAGAAGGGCGTGTTTTCTTCTCCTCCTAGACCATGGCGATTTAAGGCTCCCCCTGAAGAGAATGGACACAAAAGATAAAACATTTCCACCCAAAACTACAACATTTAAAAATAGATAGCAGAAACCCAAAACTGGAGAACCTACAGAATCATGATATCGATCAAATAAGTTTCACCATACTCAATATGCATTTGATTCTAGTCCTAATAAATTAACCAAAATACCTAAGTGAACTAAAAAGAAGTGAAAATCTCGAATGCATCCAGACTTCGCTGCCTCAATAGATTTCATTACTCTACACTTCAACAAAATTTAGCTTGAACAATAGAACATGAATATCTCAAAAATCTTGAAATATATTTTGCGAAATCACATTTTTTTCTCATATTTTGAATCCAAATCAGAGTTTCCCATCAAAATTTTCGTAAAGAACAAAATAAAATAAATTTGTACATACTCTGAATCTTCTAGAATCACTCAATTATCACACTATCCGGAAGGAGATGAAAAAATATGCAAAAATCTAAAACTCACAGTGATTTATGCTACAAAACCAAAGAAGAGAAAGCAGAAGAGTTTTCTAAAATCAATTTTTTTCCTGTACGTACTTGGTAATATTTAAGAATCACGATCCGAGCAGCAATAAATAAAGCAACCCAAAAAAATCAATATTTTCTCTTATAGAAAGGATCAGAAATCGAAAGATTAGCTCGGAATTAAAGATAGTGAATAAGAACTCACCGATCAGAGGGAACTGGTGAGGATGAGGACGACGATGAAGTCGATGAAGAAGCGATGATAAATAGAACCGATCTCAAATGAATCCACGACGACGGTTGCGACGATGAATTATTATTTGAAGGCGACGAATCTGACGAAGTCTGGCTCCGCCTGAGTGCCCTCATCAACGGTTTCTGTTGTACCAACATCTATATCTGTCTATTTATTGTCTATAACAAAATATATAAACCTCGCGTAAATCTATATATCTCTATGAAAAATCCACTGCTGAATGGAAACTTCAATTGACGAAGTTTGATGACGGTAAATTTTGTTTTTTTTTTTTTTTTAATTTTCTACCTTTAGTGTTTTTACCTACGGGAGTAGACGATTAGCGGTCAAGGCTAGACTGGCCATGGCCTTCACGGCGATGACTATTCCGACATTGAAGGTGTTCACCAAGATTTCACTTCCGCTGCCATTTCCAGATCCTCCGCCGCCGGCCTCCCCAACGAAGATGCTTCAACTCCTTCTCTGACGATCATCACCACCGGATAAGGCGTAAAACAATGACGTCGGCAGGCTCCGGTCACCGGTGAGTGCGAAATTACTGTTATGCCCTGACTCTCTTCGTCACTCCCAAGTTTCTACATACCACCAAACTTCCCCCTCTTCTATACTTTTACTTTCTTTTTTGCTTTTTAAAGGTTGCGTGTTTTAAAAAAAAAATGAAATTGCTCAATGTATAATAATATTTAATTCAGAAACTTTCAGTCAAGACCCCAAACATTTGTACTAGGAGCATTTGGATCCCACTTATTTTTTTGACGGTCACATCGCTAGACTTTCATAAGGGTGTCAAGGCGAGTGCCAAAATATTATGAATAATGTTTCAGATGGTCGAAGCAGGGTAATAAAAAAATATTTAGGAATTTGTGGATTTGGTGAAAACAAAAGTAAGAAAATGAAAAAGCACGTCGTTTATTTCTTTATTGTTGGTAAAGGGGCAAACACGACAATCGAATTAGCCCCCATGGGTATTAGCATTATGATAGATTCCACTCTTAAAACTAATTCATAAGATCATTTTTAAAAGGTTTTCTAAAAATGAAATATTCCATATTTTTAAGAGGTATTCCTTAAAATTATATTTCAAGTGACTCTTCAAATTAGGGCATGTTCGGTACAACTTAAAATTCAATTAAAATTGAAATTATGGCCGTTATTGGGTCCCACTCGTCTAATAAAAGTCAACAATAACGGCTATATTTTCGATTTTAATCCCTCCCATACAAGGCCCTAATGTAGAATATTTTGTTGTATTCATTTTATGGCCGTTATTGGGTCTCACCCGTCTAATAAAAGTCAACAATAACGGCTAGTTTTTCAATTTTAATCCAATTTTAATCTCTACCAAACACGCCCTTAATATGTAAGATAGAGAATGGATTTGACTCCTCAATTTGAAAAGCCAAATTCACTCTTTATAATTAAATACATTCAAAAAATATTTCAATTTTCAATGATCCATATATTCACCGGATAAAATAATATATACAAAGAAAATGGAAAGAAATAATATATTATTTTGGAGGGAAGTTAATGAAAATAAAAGATGTTAAACAATAATAAATTCATATTGGGAGTGGTCAAATTAAGCCCCTTGTTTGGTAGAAATTAAAATTAGATTTTTAGTAAATTTTGATAAAAGTTGATGAGATGTGTAGTTGAAAAGTTATGAATCCTGTAAAATGTATTATTAGAATTAATTGTTGACTTTGATTTCGATTTTAATCATTTTTTTAATGATACTAAACAAGGGCTTAGTATTAAATATAAAGATGATGTTGGAGTATTTATAAAATTTTACTCTCTAAATTTACAGATATTCTTTAAATTGCAAAATATGCTATTTTAAAATGAATAGTTTCTTGAAGATGCTAAAAAATGAAGCTATCCAAATCTATTATGGAGCTACAATGTCAAGAATGAAAACCTTGAAAAATACTGTCTGCTCTGATTCTAATTATAAGACTATTTTAAATTTTCAAGCAGAGTCCACCTTTAAAATCGACTTATGGAGCTATAATGTCAAGAAATGTGGAATGCAATTAGAGCCATTGCAATATCCAACTCCGGAAGAGACAATATCCATCCATTTGTAAACATCAAAAAAATAAAAGAACGGGGATCTGAGTGCTTTAGTGTGAATGTTTGGGGGACCTTGGGTACAAATTTCCCAGTGTAATTACATAATTGCCCATGATGCTATTTTAAATATTTATTTGTGTGAAATCGATGTATCCATCCGATCGTGACTCAGATACAAGAAGTGCGGAAGTCAGGGATGGCAAAATGGGCTGGGCGGGGCGGGGCGGGGCGGGGGCCTAAAAAAAGTTCGAGCTCGGCAGGCTCTTGACTCGGTGGCTCGTCACCGGCCCGTGAGCTGAGTGTAAAAAAATTTTTAAAAATGAAAAAAAAAAAAAAAAAAGTACAATTTCTCGAGTCCAACTCGTGTGACTAAAAAATAAAATTAAATAAAAAAAAAGTTTACAGCTGTAATTTTTTTATATGTTAATATTTAGTTATTATTTATAATACGTATAAATTACATAAATTTTTAGATTTATAAAGAATTTTAAAAAAAAAAATTTGAGCCGGCTCGGCTCAAGCATAAATTTTTTGACCAAGCTTTTGCTCGACTAGACTCGGGTCAAAAAAAACTCGAACCATTTTTGCTCGAGTCGAGCCCGAATTTCGAGTTTCGGCTCGTGGCTCGATTCGGCTTCTTGAAGCTCCCAGCGGAAGGCCTATGAAATTTAGGAAAATAAAGTAAATGACAATTATGATACTAATAAATATTATACTAATTTTCTGGTTTCATTTACATACTTTATAATTCAGGTGACAAATTCTCGATTATTCTTAATATGTATTTATTAACTCATGTATAAATTTATAAATTGAGTTAGTGATTGATTTAATTGAGAAGGTTATAAAAAGTAATTTTAGAATTAAATGAAATTTCGATTCTTTAACTAAAACTAAAAACGTGCTATAACTGTCTGATTCATGATTCTAAGATTCAAATAAGTTAAAATTTATTTAGATTCGAATTAGTATTCAGTAGATAGATTCATAGTATAATCCAAGTGAACAAGCCCACCTCATTTGATTGGAATGGCGTTCTTTGATGGATTTGAATTACCTAGTTTGGCATGTTTTATTAAGTGATTAAATAAATAATAATAATAATTAAAGTGCGAAGGTTTACTTCCGGTAAATATTATTAATAAGAGATTGAATAGTATTAGACTTAAATTCAAACTTCGCTATGTGAGCATAAAAGCAGGGAGCGAAGCCAGCCCGTCGAAGTAGGGGAGGTCCCAGAGTTGAAGGGGTGGGGGGCCGCCCACGGGGGTTCGCCCCGAAATTATTTTTTTTGAAACATTATCTGTTAAAATGAGATAAGTTGGTATTTTGTGATAGAGAAATGAAACAAATGAACATATATTAATGTACATTATTAACAAAAAAATCAAGAAACATATAAAAAAAGTACTAATCTTTAATTTAGTAAAATCATACATTATTACACGTGTTCCTTTCGAGTTTAAGTTTTTTGATTGATAGAGTTTAAGTTTTTTATTCATTTGAGGA